TTTATATCATGTTATAATCATGTTATAATATCATTCCCTCATCGGATTTATTATGAAATGTCTTGTACTCTCTGTACTCGCTCCGGTTCTTAAGAAAAACGTACTTTCAGGGTCCGACATGGGATCATTCCAGTAAGGTTCAACTGTTTTGAGCTGCCATTTTCCAAAACCAGTATTAGATAATTTTGCTTCTTTTTTAACAACAAAATACAACACTCCTATGGAAGGTTGCAAACGACATGAAGGATTTTGTTGTAAAGATGTGCTGAAGTGGGAGTGTTGGGAATGGAAGAAGCTTTTTAAAGACACTGAGGCCAATTTCAAAACATTTAGACAGGCTAAGATGCAAAGTCACATTAATTTTTTTATATATATATACAGCATTTTTATAAGGTAACAGTTACTTGATTGTGGAATAGAATGACACTAAGTGTCAGGAAAATACATTAAACCAGTTAATTAACCATTTAAAAGAAGAGGAGCGGCTTCAGTGTGAACATGACCATGTACTAACATTTTTAGAGATGTGCTGCAGTCATCAAAGTCAAAATGACCTAACTTTCTTACTTGTTTGTTTCATTTGATGAGTTTCCTGTGTTCCAATGTGAATAAAACACGGATTTATGAGATTTGAAAATCATTGCATTGGTTTTTACACATTTTACACAACGTAACAACTTCTTTTAGAATTAGGTTTGTATTTTAATGAGTTACAGGCACCAGGATTTATCTGGTAACAACAATCAGGTGTTTTTATTTAGCAGAGGGCAGATACTTACCCATGACTTCTGTGAACAAGAAGTGATTAGTGATTTTAGATTTGCTAAAAACAGAGCATAAAGGTTTGTATGCAGAACATTAAACAGAAAGCAAAATGTGAATAAACCTTTTTACGAGTCTCACAAGCTGTAGAGTAAAAGGTGATTAAGCTACTCCAGCTTTTTACTGGATGCTACTGCAGTGTTCTCACCTTGCCCTCCAGAACACGACTGTGGATCGGGCTGCTCAGGTCCTCCAGAGTTTCTGCTGCAGGTCTGTTGAGGGTTTCAGGCAGCAGGAGACCCAAACAACCTGCAGACAGGCCGCTTAGACAGAACACGGTGAAGGGCATGGAGGTGTGGAGAGCTCGCTGGAGAAAAGACGATGACTGATCAGTATCTGTTTTAACTGATACAAGGTGGGGATTACACAGCACGTTTGATCCAGGTCAGTTTGGGCTCAACAGAACCGACAGTCATGGGAAAATAAATTCAACTGAACGAAATTGATCTGGTCTCATCAGGTTGGCAGCTGTCTTAAAAGTTCCTACTTGTGAATATTTTTCTCTAAAATGATGAACTCCAAACAGTGGAAATGAACTTTCCTAGATTCACTGTCAGAAACAGTTGCTTCTCTAAGGCCACTGCTAATGTCTTGTGATAACACACACCTGTACACTCCCGAGCAACGCTCTCAAACTCCAATGTTTTTCTACTTTGGTTTCATTTTTGTTTAATAAATAATGACATGGTGGAATCAGATCATTTTTATTTTGTCCTGATACCAAAAACTATAGAAGTGAAAGAGGAAGGGCTTTCTTTAATCATGACCGTATGTTTAGTTGAAGCTGAAAGACATTTTGTTTACTTTCATTTTCTCTTGTCTTCATGAATTTATTTTAGTTCTGTATTCCTTTAAGTATTTAGCATGTTTAAAGTTCAAAAATCTACACGAGGTGGTTCTAAATTACAAATACAGATGTGTCTCTTTAGTTTTACTGTATTTTTTTAGTTGTTTTTTCTTGTTAATCAAACCTTTTCAATGTTTTATCCAGAATACAATTTTTTGTTCTTTTGATTTTTAACCTTTAAAAAAGCACTTTTCTTTTTACCCTTTCAAAGTCTGAAAATAAAAAAGTGTGCATCCTTTTTAGATGAAATTTGAAAACCTCAACATTTTTATGATCATATGAAGCTTATTCGTCTCTGGAGGCACAGTTAGCATTTAGATAGAAAATATTTGTTTAGTTCTAGTGTAAATGTTTGTGCTGTTTTATTTCAGTAGGTTTAAAACAACGTTTGTTGTTCAATTGTTGCAGTGAACAGAAATCACCACCAGGGGTCGCAACACCTTCAGGTTTTAACACAACTGCTGAGAGGAAGAGGAAAGTCCCCAAGTTCAGACCAGGTCAAATTGAGCTTTCTTCAAAGTTCCCCAGCAAACCGTTGTGTGTGTGTGTGTGTGTGTGTGTGTATGTGCGTGTGTGTGTGTGTTATCTTACAGATGATACTTTTAAAACTGGACAATCGGACCAGTTTAATTCAGACCAGTATGACTTCAGAAAATGAAAGCATTCAGTATATTATGAAAGGTTTTATAATCTATTAAAACAAAACATTCTGTAGCAACGACATGTGAACAAAGATAAAAAAGCTTCATTATTTATTCATCTTGAAGCTTTATTTTTGACAAGTCTTGCGTAAAGTTGTGAATAAACATCTCCATGACCACTAAGCTCCTCCCACCTTAGATGGAGGCCACCAGAGCTGTGTGAAGCTGACACCCCACCCACGCAAAAAATAAAAACTAGTAAGCGGATTGGTTAGTGCTTCGTTTGTGCAGGTTTGTGCAGTTAAAATGAGCGTTTGTGCTGTTATAGTTTTTGAGATATTAAGCATTATGTCTTCAGGTCATTAAGACGTTATAATCCCCCCCAGCAAGCTCCAAAATTAACCAAAGTAGTCTACATTATTAGTGCTTCGTTTGTGCATGTTTGTGCAGTTCAAATTAGCGTTTGTGCTGTAATACTTTTAGAGATATTACTAGTTTTTAGTGTAAGCCGATGACGTCATCGTCCCCGCAGCAACTTCCGGAATGGTGACGTCATCGGGCCAATTTTTAACTTCAAATATCTCGAAAACTAAAGCTGCACAAACTACAGTTTTTACTGCACAAACCTGCACAAACGGAGCACTAACGAACTAGCCCACTTTGGTTTACTTTTGAAGCGATATGGGGTGATGGTGAACTGTAGATGACCAAATATATAATATTTAATATCTCGGAAACCCTAACTGCACAAACGACCATTTTAACGGCACAAACCTGCACAAACGGAGCACTAACCATTCTGACTATTTGATGAATTTTTTCACGTGGGTGGGGTGTCAGCTTCACTCAGCTGGCCACCAGGCGTAGGAGGAGACAATTTCCACTTTAATTCACTCACACTTTTAAGTGGCTTTTTACTAAAAAATATTGTGACAAATCTTAGCTAATGCCCTTTTAAAAATAATTTAGAACTTTTCAAATAAACCTTTTTGTTCATTTTTAGGGGGAAAAATCCTTCAAAGCTGTCTTTAGTAAAATGAGGTAGAAGGGAAGTCAAAATGCTGAATGTCATTTTAAAGCTGAAGTTATTTTTGAGCTGCAAAAGGAAGTTAATGAGTCAATCTTACAGCAGAGATATCTCCGATTTAAGTTTAAATATTTAATTATTTCATTTGGACACAAACCCATTTTGTGAGTTTCATTAAAATCTAACCAGTGGTACATGAGATATTTTGCTAACAGATATACAAAAAAAAAAAACAGACATAATGCCTTTCATTAGAAGATAATCTGTGCAGCAGACATTGTTGAACCAAGTACTTGTTGCCAGAAATATGATCATCACATTCCATCACAGATGTGTCAGGAGGAAAACAGGGCGTCAGCTGGGCTGAACACAGCTGGATGCTATTTAACAAAAACTCAAAGTTGTGTTGAACATATTAACGGAAAATAAGACAGTATCTGTTTAGCAGAATGTTAACTGTTCATTCTTAATCTAAGATTTAATAACTGTTTCAGATGAAGCATTATATACTGCACAGAACATTAACTTACCTAAAACATTTGAATCATTGTATGAAGATGACAGAAAGATACTTCAGAAAAAACTCTACTGCAGTTCGTTGGCTTCTGATCTCACAACAAGTAGGCGTGTTTGATTTTCTGTCATTTTCAGCTGTTCTCCACATCTGCCAGCAGTGTGTCTGAACACAATAAATTACTTTAGTCTTTACTTCAAATCTTTGTGAATGTTTTTCCCCACTACAGACTGAGACTTAAAGATCTTCTAACAGAAATAAAAACTGTTGAACAGACCTTCACAAAGGTCAAACCTTAAATCTAATCTAAATCTTACTCTTTTTTTTTGTAATTTATTTTTGTATTTTTTATTTTGTATTTTATTTGTATTTTATTTTTAATGAAATGAAATGAATAAATGAATTTAAGTAAGTAAGTAAAACCTGGATTGAGGACAGGAAGAGCACAGAGACTTTGGGGGGGGGGGGGGTATTGTGCAAAATCATATTTTTTTAAACTTTATATCATATTATAATGTCATTCCTTCCTCAAAAATACACCCAGAGTGTTGCTTTGACTCATTCATGCATGTTTGAGAAATCCGGGAGTCTTAAGCTGCAGCTGAGCTCCCGCCCCGCAGAGCACCCCTCCTCCGAAACATTGCTGTGAAGACATGCTGAAGTGGGAGTGTCAGAAACGGTAGGAAGAAGTTAAAGAGACAAAGGTGAATTTCAAGGCATTTGGATAGGATGCAAAGTCAAATCACTTTTTACAGATTTGCTATGCTGCAGCCTGATGTTTATGTTTTTTCTTTGAATAATCTACACTCTGTCCTCAGTTCCATTATCAGAGCTTTTATTTGTGCTGAGCTGAATCCCACTGCCAGCCTACGTAGATTATTTTTGGGTTTGATGTAACAAGTTTTATCGTCTATCGTTCTACCTTACAAATATTCTCAGTCCTAGTCTGTTTGGATGGAGATTATTAGTGGACCATTATTTTCAGTTTTCTCCAGGAATGTTGGATTTATGTTTTGGGTCATTGTCATGCTGGAAATTAATCTTCAGTCTAGACTGAGAGTAATGGAGGCCACAGAGCTTTAGAGAACTGTCAGTGCAGCAGATATATTCTTACAGCCTTCCTCAGGTCTGTGTCTTGCAATAATTCTGTCTCTGAAATCTGGAGTTCATGTTGCTAAACCTCACCCCACAGCATGATGCTGCCACCACCATGCTTCAGTATTGGGGCGTTGCTGGCAGTAACTTTAACCTCAGTTAGTTCTTGTTCTGATATTCAAAGGAGCAAAGTTTAAGTTGAATTACAGAAACTCTGTGTTTACTGGTAGTTACACTTATTTATATGATTTAAATGAGCTGCTCAACATTAGACAGTTTTTTATCTCCGTGATTCAACTTGAGGTTTATGTGAGCGCCCAGCTTCATCTGATTAGACTACTTTCCTTTCACAGGAACCTAAGTTTGACCTAACATAATACTTTTTACTTCTTCAAACACAAACTCAGATCAACTTCTCTATTTTTCTAGTTGGGTCAAAGAAAAATAGCACTTAAAAGGGTAAGCAGAAAAACTCACCATGGAAGGAACAAATGGTGCCAGGATTCCTCCAACTCTGCATGACATGGAGCAGACTCCCAGCCCGGCGTTTCTGCAACACAAACAACTTTTTTAATGTCCGACTGGGTCACAACAGAGTCCTGCATGAAACTGAATCCTCTGCACGTTGGTGTCACCTGATCACAGTCGGGTAGAGTTCAGACGTGTAAACGTAGGCGATGTTAAACGCCGCGCTGACCATTAATTTCCCCACGAGAGCAAAAGATGTGATGCTCAGCAAAGTTCCTGTTCACAAAAAGAAACTCTTTAGTTTCTCATTAATTATAGACAATAATGCTGAGGGTAAAGTCAGCTGCCAGTCGTCTCAGGAGGGTCTCAGCAAACTCAGCCCATGGTCAGACTGGGCAATGCTCAGTGAAATTATAAAAATATATATATCAGGCCTGAGTTAACAGATTAAAGGGTAAAGTTTGCAAAAAATATCCTTTGGACAGATACAATGAAAGTAAAGAATTTTAGAACCTGGTATAGAACAGATTATTTTCCTTATGATCTGATGCATAAAACCCAAGAATGAGTAGGGGGGTAAGAAAATATCGATACACTGAAATATCGCGATATTTCATTTCCCGATACTGTATCGGTATTCTAAAGCCCTGTATCGATTTTTAATTAAGGTTTAAAATAACTTTCCTGCCAGCCATTCACTTTTATGTTGTAGTTCAGCCTCTGACCACTAGTAGGTATCAGTGAGACAGCCATTTGGCCCCTCTACCTCTTGAGCGCCAGAAAGTAAGGGTAGCATTAGCATTGTGAGTAAACATTAGCTTCAGGATCCGATAGCTGAATCTGAGCAGAAAAGACCGACACCCTCTGCCTTCTAAGCTGAGGTAAGGTTATGAACAGTTACTTATTAGTCAGAATGTCTGTATTTTAAGCCAAATTAAGTGTTTCGCACGCTCTTTTTCCAACTGTAGTCAACCTTCACGTTACACAAGTGAGGCAGGCAGGCAGGCA